TATTACATTAAAACTAAAGACCTATTCTATCAACTAATAACGTTATTTTTTTAAAAGATAGGACAGAAAGTGACTTCAATACTTTTAAAATTTATGCAAATCTTAGGAGGTCTTTAGACCGAGCCAACTATATAAAAGTTCTAAAACTTCATGTCAACTTTCTAATTAAAAAATAAATGGTGTGGGAACCAATCCACCATGATGTAAAGGAAATGTAAGTAGATATGTTTTGATTGGAGATAGGTTACTTCTCTAAGCAATCATTAAAAATTGAGAATTTTCACATTACCAGTCATTCCAAGTATAATCAGGGTTGTCTAATGTTTGATTGTCAGACTTTATATCTTCCAGCGCTTCTAATCAAAGAACAGAGCAATGGTGTGAATAAATAAAGTTAAACGACCCTTAAGTATGAAGTGCAAATCGATAAATAGTGCTATATTTCTCAATAACAGTAATTTAAATTATTATTTAGAGTATGGTATCTCTGGAAAATTTTTTGCATTAAGCAATATTTTTGAGTTTGTTTTATTTATCAGCCTTATTTTTGGTCTTTTGAATGGCTTATCCAAGTATTGGAAAATAAATGGTTATAATGAAATGTGGAAAGAAAAATTATTTAAATATCATTCTAAAAAAAAGATAAAAATAAAATGAACATGAATAATTTTAATAGGATTTATTTTATTTGATTCTTAATTCGTGATCCATCAGTAAAGGAAAGGATATATATATATAGTAAAATTCTGGGATAAGTATCATAGTAATAGTAAAACCAATTAGCTCAAAAAACAAATTGTGGTTTTGAAGCTAAGACCTTTATCGCTTATTTATTAAATAAATGCACCACATCAATTTTCTATTTAATTTAGCAATTCATTTTTTGATATAGTATTAATTTTAAACCAATTTCCAACGAGTTGATTAGAAGGCTAAAGTTGGCACTCGTAATGTAGAATTACGATACTACGATGTTGCAACTTGAAGGCCAGAATTTTACAATGTTGCAACTAACCACAATCCTTTACTAGTTTTATGCATTTTAAAGCTATTTATTTTTCATATTTTTCATATAATAATTAAAGATGAATTTTGCTACTGATAACTAGGAATATTTTACACATGATAACAATCTTGTAATGGATATTACCAAGCTACTTGTAAGCTATGTTTGTCATTTTTTAAAGATGTGCGACCATATCAATTGTTTTATAATAATAATATTTTTAACTGTATCGTGGTTATGTTGCAACACTATGTATAGTTTTATGTAATATGTAAAGTTGCGGGTATGTTGCAACATTACAACATTTGATATTTTATTACAGGGGACAAGTTTATAGAAGGTGTAAATGATTGGTATATAAATTATATAATCATGAAGGAATGTCAATTTTAAATTGGGCACAAATAACGAGAGATGTTAATAAAGAACCAGGTGGTTTTTATACAAATGGTGGCTGGCCATTCTTGAATATGGATAAAAAAATGACGATTCAGAAACATCAACTAGCTCTGTAATTGAATTTGAGCCCATTGAGATGGAGGAGGAAGGATGGTTCCGTCATCATTATTATAAAATTGCATTGGTAATTTTTGTATATTACAGGGAAATGGCAACTAAGAAGAATCTGTTGAGGAGTCAGGTTAGATAAAGAAAGAGATGAGTTTATCTTAGATCTCATGAAGGCAATAGTGATTCCAATGTATTTTAGAGTTTTCCAACATTAATGCAATGATTATTGAAATTTAATAATAACCACTTTTTTTCTTTTTAATTACTTCAATTCCTTTTTTTTTTCTTTTTGTAATTGGAAATATCATGATTAATAATAAATAGTGAGCGGTATTGCATATTTTTTAATTATTGTCATTAATGTGTAAATATTTGTATGATAATGAAAGTTGCCAATAAAAATATTCATAATAAAGAATTGCTTTTAACTTGTGCTTAACTTTCTCTGCCATATTATTCTTGCTGTATTGGTACCAACATGAATTTAATAATTATTTACAATAGGAATGAGGAAAAACCAATACATATCTCTTTTTTTTGTCATCGTGAAAAGACAAATGCATCATTATACTGATATAAAGTCGATATATTTTAAGAATTATTCCTTTTCGCGAAAGAGATTCCTGAAATCTAATTAATAAGAAAAGCAAGAAAAAATAATCATCACATAATAATATTTAAATATTTTATATAAATTAAATTAAAATTTCGAATTAAATAATTCACAACCAAAAAAGTATTTTTTTAAAATATTTTTTTAATGCTAATTTATATATTTTTTAAAAGTTCTATGCAATCCTCAAAAAGACATAAGCCATTCTGGGATGAATTCATTCAAAAATTCACAGACTAGCTCTTGGTTCATGGGCCACAGTTGACTCGGCTAAACCACCAACACCTAAAGATTTAAATAATCCTTTCCTTTTACCAGACGGAAAATAGAAGAATTTTAAAGATGTAATTTCTTCTATAAATGAGAGTCAAACTTCATCTTCATAATAATCATCTTTTCCTTCTTCTTTTAAAGCCGGGGATTAAAATATTCATACTGCGCGTTGGACGTGCAACCAATGCCTAGCTGCAATTAATCATGATATAAAAAATAAAAACAAAAAGTATTTACGTGAAAATTATATCATTAATAAATCTGAAAAATTTAAAGACACCAACAAGTCTTATGACATTAGGGATGGATTTAAAAAGGAAAAACTTTAGATTGAAGTAAAAAGGATCAATTGCAATCAATCACTATTCTATCAAGAGACTGGGAAAGAAATCGTGGTCATTATTTATTCTTCAAAGATATTAAAACGAGTGAAAAAATGTCTGAAATAAATCATGACTTTCGTTTTACCATGAATCGTCTTGGTGAATTCTACTGTGTATCCTCCAAACTACTTGAAATTAAGGTTGATAACTAAAGTCTTAAATTTTCGGTGTTTGAAGAAAATAAGGCGCCGGCATCATTTCTCTTGGTCCAGGAGTGAGAACCTTCATAATTGGATATAATCCAAGTGGTGAGATTATATAATGGGGAAAAGAGGATATTAGTAGAATACATCTCTTGTGCTTGCATTTATGATAGAATCCAAAGTGAAAGTAATTCTATTGATGGCAAAGCAAATAAATGTAACGTATATGGTATAAGCTCCGTCGGTGAATGCTCCAGGTCCACAAGAAAAATCGTAATCTTGTGGGTGAATGTCATCGAAGATTAGCAAGATGGCTGTGAGAAAACCATCACGCAGTTGTGCTCCCTGAGTTTAAAACGCAAGACATGGTTAAAAAATGCAGCCCCAGAAAAATCCCTCTAAAAATACAAGACAAATGTTGATCTATTCATATTATTGTTTCGCTAACATTTGCTACACAAATCCCACGAGTTCCTTGGTTCAAGGTCGTCGTCTGCACTGAGGAAATACACTAGCAAAACGTGCAGTCATCAAGTCAAATCTGGGCGATTCAAAGATCTTTAATTGTACATCTTGCAAATACACCATTAATGGTCGTAATATACTTTTAAAGTATATTACAGAAAAACAACAAGCGAGTACTTGATATTAGTATAAATTCAATTAATATAAGAGGTTAGTATCATTTTTGTGTAATAAAACATGTGATACTAAAATACTTTTTTTTATGGGGCTTGTTGTGGCTTTAGCACAACTTTGAAACTATCCCAGATATGGTGATGTACAATTGACTTGTAATACTTATATGAACAGAGAAGATTTTTTTCTTTGAAAAACCACAACTGACCTTACTTTTTAATTAAATTATCAAATTATAATCATGTCAGAAGGAAAAGAAACCACCTCAACTGTAATTACAAATAAAAATGTAAATAACAGTAATAATAGCGTTAATAGATCAAACTCGTATCAAAAAGAAATACCATTTAATTATCAAAAATTTCTTGAACAAATGAATCATAAAAATGCAATAAAAATTGTAAGATACGTTAGAAAGTAATTATTTAATTTCTTTTTTTTAATCAATAATATTAAAAAATATCAAATAATTTATTGAAATAATCATTGCCTTTTTTTTATCGTTTAGTTTTGAATTAGAATTTGAAAGGTATCCTAGAGCAGTTAGTGATCAAATCAAATTCGTGCATGAATTTCTAGACGTACGTTAAGAATACTCATTTCTTATATCAATTCATTGCAAATTTATTGGTATATACTTACACATTTTATTTATTTTGGTTAGTTTATAGCAGGAAAAATGCGTGAATGTGAGTTATGGAAGAATGCAACAGAACAAGAATTTGAAAATGCAAGGGAAGGAATGGAGAAATTGGTGATGAGCTTACTATATAAATTGTAGGTCTTATTTGTTTTTATTAAAGGTTGAAAATATAAAACGAATGAATGAATGAACGAATTTTTTTTTAGAACTTTTACACCTGCAATTAAAGAGCCACCTGTAACTGATGATATAGAATCTGATAACATTTTGCATCAAAAAATAGAAATATTTAGATGGGTTAGAGAACAACATTTAGATATTCCGATTACTTCACGCAATGAATCTTTTTTGAATTTTGCTAAAAAAGGTACGTAACGTACAAACAAACAAACTTGTAAGAAATTTTATTAATTAATCGAATAAATTTATCAATTGATTTTTTTTAGAACTATTAAAGATAAATAATTATAAAGCTCCAAGGGATAAGCTTATTTGTATACTTAATTGTTGTAAAGGCATATATGGTGAGCAGCGACCTTTTATTTTTCTAAGTTATCTTTTATAAAAAGATTGGTTTTTTATAGAGAAATAATTTATTAACGAATTAATTAATACAACATTATTTAATTAATAGGCTTAATAAAATATGTTAATGGCGAAGAAGGAGCCGATAAATTTTTACCGGTACTAATTTTTGTTATTTTAAAAGCAAATCCCGAACATTTAATGTCTAATGTTCAGTAAGTCAACGCATATATTCAAAAATATATCTTAATGCTTGAATATTTGGATAGTCAAAAACTTTCCTACTAATGTCACTAATTTGTTATGGTTAGATATATTCATAGATTCAGGAGTCCAGAAAAATTACAATCCGAAGCTGGTTATTATTTATCTAGTTTAGTAAGTCTTTATTTATCCATTGGCAAATAAAGAGCTACAAATAATAATGTGATATTAATTATATGTTAATTACATATTCCTAACATTTTATGTTAGATGAGTGCAATTTCTTTTATTGAAAATATGGACGCCCCTTTATTGACCATAACAAAAGAAGAATTTGACAAGTAATAATTTTTGAAATTTTATCAATTAATTAGTTAATGTTGATTGTTTATTATATTCCCTCGTTCATTCTCACACTTTTCCCTTTTTATTATTTTAGAAATATTGAGATGACAGTGAAGGAGCTTGACAGAGAACGACCAAAACCTCTAGAAAACACTAGAGAAATTAATTACGAGAATACCATACATCCATCATCCAGATCAATTGTTCAGAATAATCATAATAAAGGTATAAATCACGCAAAAGCAAAAGCAATATTTGAAAAAGGCACTATCATTGCTCAAAAATCAATTCAAAGACCTTTAAATGTTGTAGGAAAAATATTATCGGATTTTAATCAAGATCTTCAAGAACATGTGTTATATCAACTTGATTTTAATCATAATTATGACAATAATAATGATACTGTTTCTTCACCGGATACAGTAGATTCGTTATCGTCAACTTCTTCATCGGTACCACGTAATAATGCACCCATCAACACCGCCAATGCCACTGCTAATCTCACCGCTAATCCTTCTAATCTTCCTCGACGATTGACAATCAGCGAACTGTTGTCTTATAAATCAAGTAATTTATTATCAAACAACAACAATAATAACAACAATGGCATTAATATTAACAACGAGATGATGACAACGGGACCACAAAAAATGGAAAGATCAATATCATTAGAATCCCTGTCATCTCATAATTCACGTGATTATGCTCATGTACAAGAAGAAGTTGCACGAGTCACTGATCAAGATATTCAAAAATCATTAGAATCACTTAAATCCATGTTCCCTGACATAGAATCAGATTTGTGTGGAGATATTTTTTATGGTAAAGAGTGTAATATGAATGAGGCTATTGATAAATTATTGGAAATTTCCACTCCTTTTTCGATAAAGAGTGGTGATGGGGATGCGATTGATTTTGTTGATTTGGATAAATTTTCACTTTATCCTGAAAATAATAGTGATAATATTGATGATAATAATAACCGTAATAACAGTAGTAGCAGTAGTGTTAGTATTAGTAGTATTAGTAGTATTAATAGTATTAGTAATAGTAGTAGTAGTAGTAATAGCAGTAATAATAATAGTAATCATAGCGTTGATGATGAAAAGGAAAATTAACATTTATAATCTTTTATTTAAATGTATTAGTATGTATTATTTATTATTATTATTACTATTATTATTTTAGATTTTTTTAGATTTAGATTCATTATTGTATATTATCCAATATTTATTTATTTATTTATTTATTTATTTATTTATATATATATATATATATATATATTTATTTATTTATATACTTTCTACTACTACTACTATTGTTATTTTTTATATGTATTTAATGATTTATAGACGTTCATTTCTTATCAGTTATTATAAAAAAATTATTAAAATTTCAATAATTTTCATATATCTTTCCACCATCATTACAATTGTTACCAAATAATTACCGCGATCAAAGTAATTGTATTGAATAAAAGTACTAAATAATATATTTGCAATTACTCATTTGACATCCTATAAAGCGATTCAAGTTATATCCCAAGTAATTTCTTTGGTAAATTCCATAACATTTGTCAACTAAATATCTGGATTCAAAAAAGATTCGCCTTTAACTAAAATTATATATAATAATATTAATAATAAATTACATTATTTTAATCAATTGGGATTCAGCTTGCTGAGTAGAAGAACTTCTAAAATTTGTCCACACATATACAGTCAAACCTTATTTCAACGAATCTATGTGACGGGTTGATAATTTTTCAAAAAAAAAATACACTTATTTACTATCAAAGCCATCATTATTTTTTAAAAGAATGGCTGTAAATATTTAAATGAATATAGTAATTTCTCCAATGTTCGTTTTCTATCAGAGGTTTAATTAGTTTGTTTGTGTATGGACATTAAATCAAAAATGTGCTGCTGTTTCATGTCTCCGTAGACGATTAATAACTTTTACTCTTTAGACATTTGCAAAATAAAAATATTAGAATAAAGGCTATAAAATATTGAATATATTTAATAACTTGGTTTGACATTCAAATGTGTGTTGCGAAAAAAATGTCATTTGCAATATAATTTGTTTTCTAGAACAATAAACAAAAGATCACAAAAAAAAAATTTTCTCTATTGCACTTAAACCCTCGAGTCTTGGTTAATATAATACTTGCATCAAATTATTTTTTATCATCATCAGCAGACATGTGGGACAGGTCATGAAAGAGATGCTTCGCAAGTCAATGTCAAATTTTTTTATTTGATAAAACATTCAATAATAATAGTAGTAATAATAATAATAATAATAATAATAATAAGCTTTTAAATGAATCTGATTTTTTTCGATTATCATGAGACACGCAACGCACTGTATTAGATCAAATAAAATGAACCTTCATCAATATTTTCATGCTTGTAAGAAACAACCCGTCAGCTTTCTTTTTATATAAGTTTTATATAACATCTTGTCTAAGGCTTCTAAAAAAGGAGACACCGGGCATTTTTATTACTATTACACTTGGATGGTTGATGAGAAATGAAATTACTGAGAGTATAAAAACAAAAAACAAAAATTGAAACAATTACGGCAAGCTCTTTTTTTGGTTTCTAAAAGAGTGACACTTCTTCGAATAACTTGTTTATGCTAATTCATTTCATTTAAAATGTTGGCCGGAAATATTTAACGATGTCATGCATTTATTATTATTACTATAGCAAATGTCTATGCTGGCTATAAAAATTAGGAGATTTGGCCCTAAATATTTTAAGCTTGATTATTAAAAAAACTAATAAACCTTTTCTCGGCAAAAAATTGCCGACTTAAGAAGCACGGGGGACGTTTAACATTTTATAAATCAATAATTGAGGTTCCATAGAGACCAATGCGATCAGAAAATTATTGTAAGAAGGAATTTAGGTAGAAAATAACGTGTTTCTAGGTCATGCCAAAGATGTTCAATCTGGATTGACTCCTCCCCGCATTTATAAATTTATAAATGTTAGTTATACACAAAAAATTCACATAATAATATTCAGATAAACTTTGTAATTATATGTAAGATGAAAAAAAAACATATAGTTCACTAATGAAATAATTTTCATGAACTTCTATTAGAAGCAAAGGAATTTAAATAGTAACTTCAAAATACTTTTTTCCAATACAATCACAGATGAGACTCTTCCATTAGATGTAAAATCAAGCATGGATTGTTGTTTAAACACGTGACATCTCTAATATGTCAATACCTAAAGAGATATTTCTTTGTGGAATTATTATACTATTTTATATACAATTTAATTACAGGTAATTCCTTACCATATTATGAATAAAGGCTATCATTTATATTACATATTTAAGGAAAATTGCATGTAATTTTTATTGAATGGAATATTGACTAAGGATGTTAGCCGAAATGGATTGTGAAAAAATCAATTCCGGCAAGCAATTTCGGATTTACAATATTCTTCATATCAATAGTCATAAAAAAACTACCCAGAATTTTCGGCTATTTAGTAAATTTCGGCATTTTGGATTCGGCGACGATCATTTACTAAGAGAGCTAACATGTTTAGTAGCAGTAGCAATAGCAAGCAGCGGTAGCAATAGCAGTAACAATAGCAGGAGAACAAGAATAAGATGATATGGTAGTGGTAGTGTTAATATAGGAATAAACTCTAACAACTGTTGGTTTTGATTATCTCTCAAACCTTGCATCGAATATTATTAATGAAATCATCTAAAATCTGTGCCTGGATTGCAATGAAAGGATTTTCATTCCTACTAAAAATAGATTTACTATGGCCATATATTTCATAACAAGTACATCGAGAAAAGTTGCATAAATACTGTACCTGGCAGTGTTGGCATATGACAAGGTCATATACCCTTTATGACAAATGACCAAGTCATTTAGTCATATGACATGTAGTCATTGGTCATTTGTCATTTGTTGTAAATGACTTGGTCATATGACTATTATGATCAATGGCCATATACTATTACTATGATCATCATTTGTCATTTGTCATAAATTAACCAATCAGAATTAACAGAACACTTCCCAATAAAAATACTTTATTTTAAATATTATTATTATAAAAATGTTCAATTAATGCCAAAACTTTTTCTAAAAAAACACCATTTTTATCTGAAGCAAGTAAAAAAAATTAAATACTCAAAAAAGAATGCTCAATCACATTGCTGCAATAAATCTAATGCAACTGCAGTATGCAAGTATGGCGGTGAAAAAAATGGTGGTGCTCAAGCTGCAGCTTTAATACCTGGTTGTTCCCTATGATATAAAGAAATTCGGTTCAAAGAAAAAAGAATTAGAGATACGGAGGGTATAATGCACCTTGATCACAAAAGAAATTAAAAGAGTTTTACTTAAAAGAGTTTATTATTTAAGAATATTTAAAAGATTTATCAAAAGGGTTTCTTGTTATATACAGCTGCCATTCCTCATGTAAACCGGAAATAATCATTATGTTTCTGTTAAAACATTTGAAGGATGTTCAACGCAGCATTAAGATCGCGACAAAGTGTGTTAGAATATGCTCGCACACCATGAATTTCACGATCGACCCCTTTGGATTGTCATGCCTTTAAGCTGGTAATGGATACAACAATTGCCGACCGTACTTGTACGTCAATTATAATAATCCGAGGTCCTGGCTGTTGCAGCCGCAATATTTTACATTAGTATTAGTGTTGATCCAATTTTTTAACAATCCGTAAAGATGATTAAATTAAGTCACAAATAGATTTGCAGTTTGTCAAAATAAAATACTCAACAAAATATGAAGATTTTGAAAAAACGTCAGTTCTATCAAATCATAGATAGAATTATTGAAAGTCAGATATTCTTCTCGAAATGTTATATCAGTGTCAAGTATCCATTATTCAAGAATCGGCGCAAAAACAAACACCCATTACCCAAAATGTTTCGAATAGGATAAGGGTTTGACGCAAGAATTGCTTGCATTTACCGAGGAAGAAGAAGAAGAAGACCAAGAAACTAGTAAAAAAAGTTTAAATGTTAGAGAAAATACTTTTGAAACTACGGCACAAAATTTGGCTTCTTTGTATCAAAGCATGCCAAGCCAATCAAGAAGAAATTTCATGTTGGTATCACTATGGGAAGGAACATCAAAATAGATTATGTCCAACAATAATGGAATTGCCAAAAAAAAAAAAATAAAAAGAGCCAAGTATAGTAATGAAATGATACCATATCTTCCTTCAAATACCAAAGTGGCAGATTTGTACAAAAAAGATCAAAGATTGACTATACATTGGCGAAATAGTGCGGGATATATTCCTTAATTTGTGATTATATTAATAAATTAAATATTTTCTTAACAACCAAGTTATTGAATCACTTGTCGTTCGATAATAGATATTTAATTGACAGATTCGTATAACAAGAATGCGCAGTACACTAAAATTATTATTATCTTATATCTCTTCTAAACAGTTGCGTCAATCATTTATAGTATTATTATGAACTCGGCTAAATTAACTATTGCTTCTTGTAATAGTTCATTTCTTTGATTGGACGTTTATACAATAGATGGTAATTCGTATAAAGACTTTTATTAATGATTACAGTGGTTTGAGACAATTAGTATTGTTAATCTACTAAATCGAAGTGTTTATTGAAAGAGCGAATTCTCGGTTTTCATATTTGATTCTGAACCCTTTTCAACCCTTCTTAAGTGATAAATTATTCTACAACCCTTTATTTATATTTCTAAATACGATACAGACAGTATTAATTCTTTATTATAAAAAATGGATTTTTCCCTTTCGGAATAGATAAAATAAGTCATATGGTGCAGATGTTGTTTCAAGGTCATACTCAAATCTAAATGATTATAAAACCATTTCTCTAAGAAGCATACACATAAACTTAAGGCTGACTCTTCAATAAAATGCCCTGAAATTTCTTCGAAAAACAATGTTGCTAGATATCACATGACTAGGTTCCTTCAAAGAAAACTATTTATTGATCTAGTTGTTTAATCCAAATTAATAAAATTAATCCTTGGGCTACAAATTCAAGCCATACTTACTATTTAAATAGACTTGTTAATTCTTCCGATGGTCCAAAAAAAATTACCTGGTAAAACAAGATGAAAACGAGCAATAATTAGTAGATTTAAGAGTGAAATTGATCAAACAAAAAACACTTGGTAAGACTAAACAAACTGTACCAACTTATCTCAAGCAACTATGTGAATGCTGAAAAGAAATGATCCCATCAACCAATTGGGAATTTAGATTAAAGCGTTTAATATCTAATCAAAAATTCAAAGGGCTAATTTAAATAATTAAAATATTAGAACAGGATCGGTTCTCGACAATCTTCGTAAAAGAAAAAGGAATAAAATTTGTCTATTTGATTGAAAAAAAAACAAAAAATTAAGCAAATAGAGCATAATCCAATTCCTAAAAATAGATTCAAAGCCAAAATCTGAATTAATTAAATAACAAGGTGTTGCTTAAGAGTTTATGAAGAAAAGGTCCGCGTGGTGGCCTAAAACTCAAAAGTTAGAAATAAAACAAGCAAATCCTGGGCAATGACTGATTACTCCAATTATCTATATGGAGAACTTCAAATAATTAATAAATTATTATAAACAAGAAATGTCTTGGACAAGGCATTATAATATCGTATTCACATTATTAGTAGACGGTCGTGATGTTAACCAAGTTTGACTTATTTGCTAGATGAAATTTTTTGGTTTATTTGCAGAAAATTTGCACATCATCGATAAAAGATGGTGGATCTGATTGCTGACCTGTTGATATTTCAGATACATTAATTATGAATATCTACTTTTTTGTCCAAGACTATTTACACTACACTTCTGGCAACGCGTTTATATCTTTATTATTATTATTTTATCGATGACATTAAATTTTATTGGAATTTATAATTCCAAACCATAATAATAAAGGACACTAACACTATGAAAATCACAACGTTGCAAATTGTCATCATTAATGTCACATAACCTTCAAGTAGTATTATATAGAAAATCAGTGTTCTCTTTTCCATTTTAGTTCTTTTTTCAAATAAATTCGCAGACACATAATTTATTACCATAATATATTTTTGGCCTTTGGATCTTGTGAACTGTCATAAATTCTTAATAATAATAGGAAATTGAAAGATCAAATATGTTTTCAAACTATCATAGCATTAATATTGTGTGAAAATAATAATAAATATATATCGTATATAGTCAAATAATAAAAAGATATCTTTTGTCAAGAATCTTTCGTAATTTTTTAATTGCCACACCTATACCTTTACATCATTTTAGATTGCTGGTTCTTACCTTGTAAAAAACTACAAAACCACCTTCGTCCATCTTTTTACAACTTCAATAAAGTTTTCATAGAGGACTTATTCATTCCAAATATTGCTTCCAACTGTGTACAATTCTTAAATTTTTTCGTTGCCATTAGTCCATCCTTGGGCCAGTAAGCATGGGTCACACAAATTAGCTGCCATGCGTAAGTGTTGTTATATTTGATACAAGTAGGACACGCATCATGTCTTTCAAATTTTCCTTTTTGAGTTTTTATTGTGACAGTTAGTGATGATGATGATGATGAACTTTTTTAAAAAAGACATTAAAAAAATACAAATTTTTGATTATAATATTTGGACTTTTGTTTTTTGTTTTTTTAATGATCCAAGAATAAATTGTTTCTTCATTGTTCTTTCCAAATAATTTTATGATGAGACAATGAATAAAAATAAAAATTATTGAAATTTGTAGGATCGACAGGCGGGAAGCTGTTGTACTACAGGGTCTTTTCGTTCAACAAGGTTTTTTTAATTTTGTCTGTGTAAACTTTTTGTATGCAATTGCATAAGCCGATAAGCGTGCGTTATTTCATTTATTTATTCTTTATTCATTTAGTTGATATAAAAAAACCTTAAATGAATTCCAATTTATGCATTTATTTATATTTATTAATAAATATTCCTGTAGCCTTAATGAATGAAAACGAGTATGTAAATCAAAAATCAAGAAAAAAGAATATATTTTTAAAATAGGGAATTTTTTTTCTTCATATTAATATTAAGGAGAGAAAACAAAAGATGAAATTATTCATACTAATAACAAATTCGGCACGATCCTTACCATTAATATTAATGATCATTTGATATTCAATGTCTTATCAGAGATTTCTATTTCTTTTTACATCCAAAGCCCCCCTAAATCTTCCAACTTTTTTTTTTTACTTCCTTTCTTACATAAATAATAAAAAGGGGAATGAATATTATTATTTATTTCTTTATTAATATAAATGAAATGGCTGACCTTCTAAAATTCTAAAATCTAATTGTTTTATATTTATACTCTTGAATTCTCGTAAAAAAAATTGATTTTTCTTTAAAAAAAAAAAAATAAATACATATATAATGTACGAAATTTTTAATAAAAAATAATTCAATACTAGTTATTATTTATTAATGAAATAAATAATGAATTAATTTTTTTTTATTCCTTTAGATTTTATAACTTTAGAAACTTGTGCCGTTTTAATAAAAAAATTTCTTTTTTTTTATTATTTTTTAAAAAAAAACCATTTAATAATAATTATTATTATTAAAAAAAAAAAAAAAAAAATGAGGTTTCGACGAAAAAATACTTCATTTTCATCTTATATTTGTCTGTCCCCATCTTCATCACCCTCACATACCCATCGATCACATTCTTCTTCCAATTCTTCAAGTAAAAATTATTTTAATCATGATGACTATTGGAGAGAATTATCACTTGAAGTCGCTTTGCCTCCATTACCTTCATCCGATGACACCAAATTTAGTTGCTACCTAGGATTATTTTCTTCATCATCCAACAAGGATAATAAAACAAATAATCAACAACGAAGACAGTCTACATCATCGTTGTCGTCGTCGTCGTCGACTTCATCCTCGATATCTTTTTTTATTGACTTTAATGATCTTACAACGAGCTCAATTTCTGTAACAGCTGCGAATGATACTGATTCTTCTAGTGATAGTAGTAGTTATGATGATTTTCTTAGTGATTATAATAGCGATGGTGGCGATGTGAATGTAAAAATTGTTGATTTTCAAGGACGACGTGACAGTGGATTTTTTGAGAATGATGAAGAGTATTATTATCCAATCAATCACAAAAATATTTCATAAAATTTATTTGTTTTATTTATTTTTTTTTATTTTTTTTTTATTTATTTTTTTTTCTTGTTTTGTTTTATTTTGTTTTGTAAATATATTTAAATTTTTGTATATAAAATGATAATTTATAATAGTAATAGTTTAATTTAATCTCTAATATTAATAATAATAATTGTAATATTTGTGTTGTTTTTTTTTTTTTACATTATTTTCTTATTTAATAATAAAAATGAAAGATTATTATTAAAATAAATAAAATCAACTCTTTTGTGTCCCTTTTGACTGATTCGATTGATTTTATCGTCATTACTTTACAACATACTAATACTTTCTATAAACAATTTTTCGATAATAGAAAGAATAATGAACGAGCAATGTTGATGTTAATTAGATAGGTTCATAAAATCTTCTTCATGACACGCACAATCTGATTATTACTACGCGAATTTGTTATTACTAAAAATAATAAAATCATATTTCCCAGCTAAATTTCTCTAATACTAATACTAATGCTGTAAATAATGGCTAAGGGATAAATAGATTCGAATCAAAGCCACGAATGTTTTTTGAAAAACCTCCCACACTAAACCATAAACTGTTACAGTACAAATTTAAGGCTTTCATGCCTGTATAATAACCTGACATTTAATTTGCAACAGGTTTTATCCGGACCCATCACGGAATGATTCACACGAAAACTACTATATATTACTAGCTAGATAAAATTTTGTCTTTCCTGTGGATAATATTTGTTGAAGCAATGCCTCGAGTAGCAGGTCGTAGTTATAATTAATGTTAATAGTAACAGTAGCAGTAGGAGTAGTTATTACAGTTAGAATAACAGATAAATTTCTGTAACTTGAGTTAACTAGTTTCATAATATCTTTATTGAAAGATAGAAGAATTACATATGCTCTTAATATATCAAAAAATTTTCATAGTTAGTCTCTCAATATTACATTCAGTCTCAATATCTAATTGTATGTTTGATTAATGTTTTCTTTATCAAATTCAATATTTTTCATTGGTGATCGTCTGAGTTATTCTCATGTTGAATGATTTCATTTAATGAGCCGTATAATATCATCCATTTCTCATCTGATGTGTAGCCAATGATAAAATGCGTGATATGCAAATCTTGAAAATTAGCAATGACAAGAGTATATTAATATCTAATTCAGAATTTCATTAGGATCCAAATTATCTATTAATAATATAAGCAACAGGCATTCAACTATTACAATAACACGTATATACACATTAATATCTTAATATCTTAAATTCACTTTTGGAAAATAAATAAATAAATAATATAAATAAATAATATAAAAAAAATTTTGGTAGAGCAAAAACAAAAAAAAGATAAAATTTTGTCTTTCCTGTGGATAATATTTGTTGAAGCAATGCCTCGAGTAGCAGGTCGTAGTTATAATTAATGTTAATAGTAACAGTAGCAGTAGGAGTAGTTATTACAGTTAGAATAACAGATAAATTTCTGTAACTTGAGTTAACTAGTTTCATAATATCTTTATTGAAAGATAGAAGAATTACATATGCTCTTAATATATCAAAAAATTTTCATAGTTAGTCTCTCAATATTACATTCAGTCTCAATATCTAATTGTATGTTTGATTAATGTTTTCTTTATCAAATTCAATATTTTTCATTGGTGATCGTCTGAGTTATTCTCATGTTGAATGATTTCATTTAATGAGCCGTATAATATCATCCATTTCTCATCTGATGTGTAGCCAATGATAAAATGCGTGATATGCAAATCTTGAAAATTAGCAATGACAAGAGTATATTAATATCTAATTCAGAATTTCATTAGGATCCAAATTATCTATTAATAATATAAGCAACAGGCATTCAACTATTACAATAACACGTATATACACATTAATATCTTAATATCTTAAATTCACTTTTGGAAAATAAATAAATAAATAATATAAATAAATAATATAAAAAAAATTTTGGTAGAGCAAAAACAAAAAAAACAACAAGCTACCTTCTCAGTTTGTACAAACAAGAGATCCTTTGACAAAAGTAACAAGAGCAAGGGAATTTAACTTCAAATACAAACCTAAAACAGAAAAAATCAAAAAATCAGAGTAAGTGACACAACCAACTGGCAGGTTCGAACGAAATCTTTTATCCGGGTTTGAAGCATGATCAAGTTATTTTGACCGTAGCGAAACTTTCACTTGATATACAGGTTGTGTTTACTTGTCAGCTTTTGGGTATTTCATTGCCGAGTTTTTATGAGGTGTTTTTTTAATGACTTTTTAGAGTCAGTCTGTCAATATTAGAAATTAATCTTTGCTCATTATTATTTTTTTTTTTTTTTAACATTAAGTTAACATTAAGTTAAGTTTGGATGGAAGGTCTGTGTTCAGTTTGTTATGAAAAAACTTGTCAATCTTGACCAAAGAAATACAAATAAGGAAATTGTTTGCATAAAAAACTACAAACCTTTCTTATATATATGTATATTATCTTTAGTTTTACAAATATATTCGAATTTTTAATTGAATTTATTTGGATAGAATTAAGTGATTATTATTGGTATATATATTTTAAAAAGGAAAAAAATAAAAATATCGTTATTTATGATGATCCATTTATTTATTATATGGGGTATACTGCAACAAAACCAGACAAAGTGGACCAAAGATTTCAGGGATCAAAATTTAGTCATTTGTAATGTGATCATAATTAACAGTTTTATAATATTCCATTTGTTATTTTAAGTGATATATAGCACTACTCCTATATAAAAATAGTTAAGATGAAACTCATTTACATTAGGTCTAGCATGGAACCCAAGAATTATAGTACTATCAGAAGTATTTTAAAAAAGGAACAAGGTGAAAAAATTGCACCTTATATTTTCAAAATAAATGATACTCAGACACTAGAAGCTTATCTAAGGAAAGAAAGGATTACCTATGAAATTTATCAAGAAGAAAGAAAAATAATAAATGTTGGAAAAAGAAAGCATCATGATGATGCATTATTACCTAATAGAAAGCAAAAATCTTTAAAAGGAAAATAACTACCATCTTCTTTGATAGTTGGAATGAATTTCAATTTATACAGAGGGTAATTTCTTCAATTACTTTTTTATTTTCAATCAAGACCATCTTTTAGTCTCTTTAACTTCAATTTGAGCAGTTAATTGACCATTCTGTTGATCTTTTAATTTCCTGTTTTCTTCTTCTAGATGATTAATTTTTTCTTCTAAACTTTTTATCTTATCTAATAACTCCTGTTTTTGCTTTTTACTTAACTCTTCAGATTTTTCCTGAAACTTGGCTACTTCTTCTCTTTCAATGTTTAACTCTTCTTTAGTGGATAATTCTTTTTCTAGTTCTCTAGTCTTGTTTTCTAAATGGTAACTAAATGACCTAGACATCAAGTCTTCTTCAGAAACAAGTTGAGTTAATTTGTCTTTCTCTAAATGACAAAAACATCTCTTTCTATTTCTTTTTGTTCTACCACACTTTTCGCACCAAGGAAGAACATTACTATCAAAATCTTGTTTACATTTGTTACAAATAAAAGCTGTGTCAGTATAATCACCAGTCTTTTTGTCTAATGCTACCATTTCGTGGGTAGCAAGAGCAGTATTTAAAGCGAGGTTATTTGGATCATCATAGTCTAAGACACAAAAATCACATTGTCATTCTTGACCATCGGCTAGTTCTAATTAGAGGCCTGCATTTGCCATATAATTAAACCCGGACCCAACCCGGACCCGCATCAAATCATAATTTCTAAACCC